CAGCATACAAAACCAAAAGGATCAAAATGCCTCGAAACAACAATAGCCACTACAATAACAAGCCCTCTCACCCAGAGACCTCATTCCTCGACCTCCTCAACTCCCCCAACTACCCAGACGACGAGACCATCCGCCTTCTCCAGGCCGAACAACCCTGCAGCAACGAGAAAAATCCCCCACCCTCCACCATGATCTCCTTTGCTAGCACCCTCCAGCGCCTCCGCCGCCCCCTATTCGCCCTAAACTCACTTACAACCTACCAGCCACACCCGGACTTCCCCAAAACCATCCTGTCCTTCCATCTTCTCACCGAGGCGCAGTTGGATGCTCTAGCCCGCTATTATCATCAGGTATGTCCGCCGCTCCCGCAGACTGATCAGTATCCGATCCGGATTCAGGCGTGGATTGGCGCAGCTCACGAAATGGATGTGGATATTGACGAAAAGCGCAGGTTGTTTGGGGAGTTTATTGGGTTGGATGTTGTTGTCGTGCCGTTTCAGAATGTGGCTAGTCTTGAGGAGGTGCTTAGAATGGGACGGGGTGGTTAAGCATCTAAAATATAGTATAGACTTAGGTGCTTATATTGGATAGAAATAGAGGAGGGTGTTGTTGATGGTTATAGTATGAGACGATCTACATCTATCAATACGAGAATAATATCAAATCGGAAGTAGACATATTTTATGCAGAACTAATGGATAAACTACAATTAATCCATTTAACCGTAACTCCAGCGGGGTAAACAAGACATGGAATTTACCCCAGATTCCCCAAGAATGAAATTGTTTAGCCTGTGACGGATAAAAAACCCCGCCAATATATATCAAAGCAACCAACTCAATTCCATGAAAAACACCACCTAACACTCACTCACTCACTCACTCACTCACTCCCAACTCCAAAATATATAAATCAAACAATCAAATCAATAAATAAATAAATACATCAACCATGTCCCCCCAACCCCTCGTCACCCACATCTATACCGCCGACCCCTCCGCCCACGTCTTCAACAACCGCCTCTACATCTACCCCTCTCATGACCGCGAAACCGACATCCAATTCAACGACAATGGCGACCAATACGACATGAATGACTACCACGTGCTGTCAATGGACAGCGCCTCCGGCCCCGTCACCGACCACGGCGTGGTCCTAACCGCCGCCGACGTCCCCTGGGTCTCCAAACAGCTCTGGGCCCCGGACGCCGCCACCAAAAACGGCAAATACTACCTGTACTTCCCGGCGCGCGACAAGAAGGGGATCTTCCGCATGGGGGTCGCCGTCGCCGACGATCCCGCCGGTCCCTTCACCGCGGAGAAAGACTACATCCCGGGGAGCTTCAGTATCGACCCGGCGGCGTTTGTGGACGACGATGGCCAGGCGTATTTGTATTTCGGGGGTATTTGGGGCGGGCAGCTGCAGTGCTGGAATGAGGAGGGGACGGTGTTTGATCCGGCAATGCAGGGGGCGGTGGAGCCCAAGGGGGATGGGGTGAGGGCGTTGGTTCCGAGGGTTGCGCGCTTGAGCGAGGATATGTTGAGGTTTGATACGGAGGTTAAGGGGTTGGAGATTTTGGGGGAGGACGGGGAGCGGATTTTGGCGGATGATCATGAGCGAAGGTTCTTTGAGGCCGCGTGGATGCATAAGTATAACGGTACGTATTATTTTAGTTACTCGACAGGGGATACGCATTTCTTGGCTTATGCCACGGGCGAGAGTCCCTGGGGTCCGTTTACGTATCGGGGGCGCATCTTGGAGCCGGTGGTCGGGTGGACGACACATCATTCGATTGCGGAGTTTCAGGGCAAGTGGTATTTGTTTTATCATGATTGTGAGATGTCGAAGGGGGTGAGCCATTTGCGCAGTGTCAAGATGAGGGAGATTGTTTACGATGATAAGGGGGATATGCATCTGGCGGAGAAGCAGTGATAGAAGTTTTCATATTCAGGGAATCGTTTGTATATAGTTTGTTATGATGAATGGATATAACTGCTGGGGAAACCAAAGGCTAGTGCCCCATTCCCCTTGCTCGGTTTTCAGCCACAATACTCCAGTACTTGTCCTTCGACCGTGTCCGGAACATTTTGCCCCATTTCACCATGGCGAGGAACACGGCCGCGCAGGCAAGCCCGATGAAAGCGGCGGAGATGAAGCAGTTCTGGTAGCCCATATTCTGGATCCAGGGAGTGATCCTATGGTCATATTATCAGTGGTTTTTGTCCGGTGTGAAATGTTAGAATAGAAGCCTGTTGGTGTACTGACCCGTATCCGATAGCAAAGGACATGGTGTTCCGCACCAGGATGATGCTTGACATGGCATCTCCACTCAGCTCGCGATAGCTGTCAACTAGGTAATTGACACTGAGGGTGACACCGAACGTGTTGGCCGAGGCAAGAATACACATAGCCACAAGTAAGCCAAACCAATGCACCTGGTGTGCGGCGCCAACACCCCACAACAGGAGGGACCCGGGGACCGTGATCAAACAGATGGCAAAGGGCCAGAGACGCTGCTCGGCTTCCATTGTGCCGTGGTTGCGGCGAGCGAGTCGGATAGTGAGCCAGTCGCTGAACCGGCCAGTGCCGAGAGAGCTAGTTTTATCATCTCTGTTAGGGGGATCGATATGCAACACAAGACCAACGGGTGGCTTACCCTAGTATTACACCAATGCAGCAGGCGACGTAGCTGAGACCGACCATCGAAGAACTAGGGTTGTCAGTGGGTATATAACTTGGTAGCGAAAGAGACGTGGGGGGAGTATACATACCTGAAGTTATACGGCGGTGAACTAAGGACAATAGACGCAGTGCCGTTCAGCACATTGAACCAACACAGGTATGAGCCATATGAGAACCCGGCGTAAAAAATCACCGGCCAACTCAGATAGTACAGTGTATGCCAGAATCTTCGGATCATGTTGTTGGGCTGTTTCGGGCCCAAAATCGCCAGTTTCTGGACGTATGTCTTCTTACTATACGTGGCGACAATGCCATTTTCTCGGTCCTGTTCGGTGGACACATCCTTGGAGCCGACTTTCTCCTTCTCCCCTTGTTCCGAGCCGGTTGCAGACGTCTCCGGTGTGGGGGTGGCAGAACTTGACCCGGCCGTATGGCGTGAATAGTTCGTCTCTTCCATGAAGAAAAACAAGAAGATACCACTGACAGCGATGAAGATAGCCGGCCAATAGAACACCCATTGCCAGCCGTGGTACTCGGCGATGAATCCGCAGATTACAGGAGCGAAGTAGTTGCTTCCAGCGAGGAAAAACGCGTAGAGAGCCATGTAGGTTCCCCGTTCATGGGTGAAGTACTGCAATTGATGAGCTGGGGCTGTCTGTCTACCTTCTTGGAGAGAGTTACCTACCACATCTGTGACGGAAACTTCTGGGAGAGCTTCGATGGGAGCAATGAAAAACCCGCACAGTATACTGCGTCCGATCCACTCGCCGTTGGATTGGACATATGGACTGGTTGGTTAGTCTGGCGGCAATTGTTCGAAAACAGGGAAAAACTTACCCCCATACCAGCGCCCCCTATTTAGCTAAGTTAGAGAGAGAAATAGAAACCGAGTGTTGGATAGGCAGCTCACAATAGTTCCAATACACGAGAGCAGATATGTCAACCGCTTGCCATACTGCATGGCAAACGGCTGCCAGAACAACAGCCCCCAACCCGCAAGAAGAAACATGTACCCCGTCCCCTCGTTCAACGTATTGACTGACACACCTGTCGCTTGAGAGAGGGGAACGATGACGGAATACACCACGGAGGTACCAATTCCAGTGAATAAAGTGTATCTTTGTTGGTTCTAGTCAATTCCACGATCCAAGGTGTTACAAACACGCAAGAGGTCACTTACGCGCTGACACAAATAGTAGAGAGAAGCTTCCGTCGCGGCGACCAATTGAGGGGATCATCCGGGTCGTCTGAAGGCTGTGGAACGAGGACGATGTCGCTATCCCCATGGTCTAGATGTCGACTTGCCATGGTATGTTCCACATCGACCAGGGTGAATGTACCCGGAATGGCATTCTGGTCTATGTTGTCCGCCATGGCGATGAGCTTGATAACGAAGCGTGTGGAATTCTAATCGGTCCGACAGCAATAGTATCTACCTTCTTTCTGTCTTGTGAGTGTAAGAAAGACAGGTTAGACGATGGGCCAAAAGCAAAAAAGAAAGAACAACAAAGCACCGTCACACCTCAGGTGACGCAAGGGGCGCTGTGATATATGTAAGAGAGATCCAGGCATTGTGTTTATCGGTTATTCCCCGACAGCTGCGTCGAATCAGACACGGCAATCATCGATCATAACAATGTCACCAACCCCGTGGACTGACCCCAACTGACAGCAGCATCGTCTCCACATCTTGCTATCAGTCCGCCCCCGCAAACGAGCAATGCGAAAAAGGCTAAACACCCAAAGAATTGTCGGAATGGGGCCGATAAGGCGTGGGTCGGAATCCTTCCGCGGCGTGTAAGATAGCAGGTCTTCCTTTCATGCGAGGACTGACGAGGACTGACTCGATGTAACTGCCGCGAAGGTTCCACATGGTTATCAACGGCGGTTGAGCAAAGAAGGTGAAGATTCGCGAGACCCCGCTCGAACCTCCTCGTGACTTGTCGTCATCAACTACAAATAAATCAGGGGAGAAAGTATGTATATCAATCATATCAGAATATAAAAGGAAAATCAATGTCCGTTGCAACCAATTGATGATACTGGATTTGGTGCCGGAATGGTGAATAGAGATGAGAGTGCCAGGCCATCCATCCATCAATCGAGATAAATTCATATATACCAACCAAGTTTACTGTTATTACCAACAAGATTACTTGTCTGTTTATTCTGTTTATTTTACTATATTGGAAAAAGTTGATTCTCCTCTGATTGACAGTATATATATATCATACCTACCTTACGTAGCTCTCTCTATATAGTTGATACAAGATGTGATAATGACTCCCGAAAGAGCTAGAAAATGACAAAAAAATATTGGCCCGAGCCGCGGATCGAACGCGGGACCTCTCGCATATATGCTAAGGGTGAACCCTAAGCGAGAATCATACTGATAATTTAATTAGTAAAGGGTTATAGAGATAATTGGAGAAGGGATAACTAACCCACTAGACCACCCGGGCAATTGTATGATGTCATGTGGAGAGCAGGGATTAATATTGAATCCATTGTTGGTGTTTAAAAAAACATCAAGAAATCCGATAACTTTATTACGAGCGTCCAAACCACTGAAAAGCACTACAACAACAAATAACAACCCGTCATTCAGGTAATCGGAATGGCAATCTTTCCTTATCACTTAGAGGGAGTTAGTAGGTACTTAAGTTACTTAACCTAAATCTAGTACTCTACTAGTCTCCCGCGTTGCATTAGCGTTTGCTCTGTTGATAACAGCCCGAGTTGGAGTCAAGCCGTTGGAGAGCAAAAGAAGGAGGGCGGAGAAAACCCCGACGATGGAGATCATTGGCAGTTGTCATGCGGAGAAGCTTTCGTCGCTCGTGGTGCTGGCCCGTTTTATTCCTATCAACAACGCCAGGATCCCGCTAGTGGCGAGCATGATGGATGGATTGCATGGCTAAAATGAATTCGTATTACGTATTGATCTGGACCAGAGCGGGTTGGGTTACCTATCCCCGCTGAAGATCGAATATCAGACAGACTTGGTGTCTCCAATTGCAGGGTGAGGTCAAAATATCGAATAGAGGCTAGGCCACGGCGAGTCGAGCCTTGTTCTAGAACATAACACGGCACATATCTTAACATAGTAATACCCGGATGCTTCCAAGGTTAGGTCACAGATAATGTATAGTAGTCGTTCCCGAAGGAAAGTCCAGCAGAGGAAAGCCCTAGGGACTCGAGAAAATTAATTGTGTATCAAAAAAACATACAGAACAGAAATACATCTTTATGCAATAAAATAACAGCGAAGAAAGTCAATGGAGATTACCGAGCTCAGCTCGACCCACTGGCAACATCATCGTCACCGGGGAGCTCCTTGATGGCGTCCTTCAAAGTTTGGATCAGCTCGTCAATGTCAGGCCGGTCGGCCGGCTCAACTTGCAGACATTTCCGTACGACATCCTTCACTGGTGCACTGATGGCGGAATCATCACCCCCTTGAGCAGTCTCGCCCGCCTTGCCCTTCCCTTTCCCACCGTTGGGCTTTTCATCAGGGAATCGCCAGTCCCCGCCAAGCACGCACATGCTAAGACTACCACCAGTCTCTTCACTGCGGGCCTCGAAAGGACTCTTGCCCACCAGACAGGCGTAAAGCGTGCACCCTAAGGACCAGATATCCACCTTCGTGTCTATTATGGAGCCGGTCTTGACATCGAAAAGCTCCGGGGCCCGATAGGGCATCGTGCTGTGCTCAGCCGCCGTATCCTGGACAGCGAGTGCAAGGGAGCGCGAGGTAATGGCGATTGGACTCGGGGCTAACGAACCGAGGTCCATCAGGATGGGGGTTTGGCCATCATCGGCAATCATGATATTACCTAGAATTGTCAGTATTATTTTTAAACCCCGGGGTGGAAAGAGCATTCTTACCCGGCTTGATGTCCCTGTGTGCATATGGCCGTAGATCTCCGTCTTCGACCCCCTCCTGACTCTGTGTAACCTCATCGTCCATCAGGGGCTCATTCTCGTCATCATCCTCCTCCTGCTGCGCCATCTGGCTTGCCCGTCGTCTTGGTTTCGGCATACGCATGCCGCCCTCAGTATCCGCTTGCTCGCCCTCACTCCGGACCCCCTTCGCCTTGCGGGATCTGGCGCCGCTCTTGACGCGGTATTGATGCATAGCTCGGAGCGCCTTGGCGACGCCGAGAATGAGCTGCAACAGTCGCTTCTCCGGAAATTTGCCATGGTTGACTAGATTGGCGTTGATGGCGTCCTGGAGATTGCCGCGCTGGTAGTAAGGGAGGAGGATGTAGACCGTCTTGGAGCCGGCCTCTCCGCCATCGGATCGGAATTTCGAACCGCCTTCTGTCGATACACAGTGGTCTATGGAGTGGATTATATTCGACTCGGACGTGAAAAGGGTATAAGCTTCGACTTCCTTCAGAGCCTGCGATACGGACTCCTGACCGAACGGACATCGGATTTTCTTAAGCGCAAAGAGCTCGGCGGTGGATTTGTCTTGGACAAGATAAACGTATGAAAAGCCGCCCTATAAGGAATAGAATAATTAGTTCCATGGGAGACTAGAACACGAGTGAAATCGTAGCGACATACTTCGCCGAGAAGTCGGAGCAGTTTGAAGCTGCGGTTGTTAATCTTCAGCTGTGGTGTGCTAGGGAAACAGCACATGCAGTCTGTGAAGTTATAAAGAAGGTCGAAAAAGTACTGCGCCATGTTTGAGGTGGGAATTGGGGCGTATGCCGGTCAAACATGCAAACTGTAGGAGAAGGCGTAGGCTTTGGCGCAATTAAACGGGCGATTGAAGCTTTGAGCCGTGGCGAGTAGGGGGAGAGGATCGTAGTCACGGATTGGCTCCACTCACGATCGGGGGGGAGAAGGTTGCAGTAAGGAGAACAGACAGGTGGTCGGAAAATGCAAGGGAGAGAAAGGAGCCAATGAGGAGGATAGGGATAAAGGTGTAGGAACAGTACGGAGGGAGTCGAAGAGGAGATATCACGACAGTTGATGCTGATGATGCCAAGGATGATGAGGTGGACGGATAGAGAATGACCCATTTTACCATACGTTACGAGCCACTATGCCTGATGAGGATGTCCTGTTACCACTAGGTACGTGCCAGCACCTGCTAGGTCAGGTACTAGTACAGTACTAGTACTACTGCAGTCCCACTCCTCCACATTCCACATCTGCATCAGCTACTGTGAACATCGAATAGTATCATCGTCATCATACCCATCACATCGTATGCACACTCTGCAGCATAACCAGAAAGATGTCCCTGTCCCCTCCCGTCAGCCAGGGGGATTACCATTATCAGCAAGGTGATTTTTATGTCTCTACAAAGCAAAACCGTCATCGCCGTGCTACCATCCCAGAACTCCACACTCTCTTCCACCCACCTATCGGCCAGGCGCCACCCAAAGACCATCCCGCCCATTGGTATCGAGCCCAGCTTTTACACTATGGCCTCCAGCCGTCGGATAATAAAGGTACTGCAGCAAAACGGCTTCTTGATGCCGTAAATCACGACCAATTAGCTGTTCCAAACAACTTACGGCTGTTGGAGAAAGAACTGAAGAAGGAATGGGACTCTAATGAGCGAAAGGCTCGAAAAGAACGGGCCAACTGCAATAAAGTCAAGAAAACTCCAGCAAAGAGAACAAAAAGTGGTGCGAGCAATGACATCGCAGCTGTCAGTGCGGCCGTCATGGCTAGTCTGCCTACAATCAACGGGAATGTCAATTTCACTTGGAATATCGGCGGAGATACTCCGACAGCTGTTCAAAACGCAACCAACAAGCGCAAGGCCAAAGGAAGTGCGGAGGAAAAGGACCAGAAACCGACCAAGCGACAAAACTGCGCTGATCATACTGCCACTACCCCACATAATCCTCCAGAAACGCCAAAATCAAAAGTAACGAAACAGACAGCCCGAAAAGGCGTTCAGTCAAGACCGAAAGTAAATGAAACGAAAGAAACGAAGGTCAGGGCAGCATCCCCTAGAAATGTAAGTCTTTTGCTTACCATGAGTCATCAACCCAACTGTTATCGCTCAGAGTAACAGAGATAATAAGTTTCAGAGCGCCCCTAAATTGGGATTGATCAATGGGATATACGACCTTGATGCGGAAGGCCCTGACACAAGAAATTCAGGCCTTAAACTGCGTCTCCAGGATAAGAGTGTCTGGGGTGAGTTCCAGCTAGACAGGCTTAGCGGAGTCCTCTTCATGCCAGAGCGGCCCTGGGGGGTTTTTCATCCAGGCTATGATGACATTCACCAGGCATGCTTCTTCGAATGGCGTGCCATTGACCAGAGTCGTGGTGATGCACCTCTATATGGCCCCTCCTGTACGGGAATGATGAAGTTTCTGGGGGACGGTCGGATTCAAGGAACCTTTAACAGTATGATCCCTGACAGTAATGGTGAACTATTTGATTGTGATTTCTGGGGAGAACGGGTTTCCGGAGGTGTAACGAAACCCCCGCAGAGTGCGTGGAGCTTGCAGGATAGATTCGAAGCCATTGGAGCCCGAGCAGCGAAATCCTCATATTATAACAGCCCTGGGGGTGAATCTGATGACCCGCCTCCTCCATATTACTCCGATGACCCGTTGTCCAACGAGGATTTTGATACGGAGGATGTGTGGTAGTGGATAATCAAAACTCTCGGAGCCTAACTCCGAAGATTGCAAGGATATGGTTTTTTAGGCTTACTCCGATGATTAGTTTTAATCTCAATAGCTTTAATCTTATGTCTTATGCATTAACGAATGTTATTGATACCTAATGTATGTGAGGGGGTAGGGGGATACGTATTATGTGAATAATTATGACCACCTGGGTTTCCATGTAGATGTTGTTTGTTCAAGGTATTGTTTACAGGTATGTATACCCCCAGACATTCTCCCACAGCTAATGACCCACCTCGTGACCGGTATGTATGGTACCAGAAACAATACGAAAAGCACCAACCATGGTTCGTTCATGCTTCGGGTTAAGGCAGGAAGGAAGATCGACTTTCATCTCCTGTGACGACATTTTGTTGTTGTTGTTGTTATTTTCTTCTTCAACCTCCTCGCCTGAAACTCCCTTTTCGGTGCCCAACTCTACTCTCCAAACGAAGGAAGGGGGTCGAAAAACCTCCGAGATTGCGACTAGTTGCTCAACGTACCCATCAACAAAAATGTTGCATTGATTGATGTCTGATCCGTCACTCACTCATCTCCTTTTCGTGATCCCGCCCTTTTCCTTCCGCCGCACATTCCTCGATCTTTCTCCCTCTTAAACTATTTGACTTGACACCTCCCCCTTCTTTCCTTTTTCTGAAACAAGTCCCACTTCTACTCCAATTCTCATTCTTTTGTACCTGTTCTATTTTCTTTTTCTTTTCTTTTTTGCCCACACGAAACTCGCATTCATCCATGGCACCCCTCGACGAGATCCAGGTCGGTGACCTGGTGAATGTCCCCGGGGGCATGTACGGCAC